GGGGGGGTTCCAAGCTCGAGGTCGCGGCCAGGTCGCGGGGCCAGGTGGGGGGGCGACAGCACAGCTGCTCTCGCCTCGCGTCTCGACGGCATCTCTCGGCATCTCTCGGCATCTCTCGGCGGCATCTCTCGGCGGCTCTCGGCGAGGTAGTGACATTGGCGTTGCCTTTTCACCCAGGCGGGTGCGGAGCTTGAAGCAGCCGAGTCTCGTCATCGAGCGAATCTCGGCGAATCTCAGCGAATCTCAGCGAATCTCGGCGAATCACGGCGAATCTCGGCGAATCTCGGCGGATCTCGGCGGATCTGGGCGGATCTCGGCGGATCTGGGCGAGATCTGGGCGACATCTCGGCGAGATCTCGGCGACATCTCGGCGACCTCTCGCCTTCTCGTCCTCGCCGGTCAGCATCGACAGCGAGCCAACGCCTTCCACACTCGCGCCAAGCGCCGCAGTCGCCGCCGCCGGCGTGCCTGACGAGCGCGCAAAAGTCTCGGCGAATCTCGACGGAATCTCGACGGAATCTCGACGGAATCTCGACGGAATCTCGATCTCTTTACATCTCGGCGATCTCTCGGCGATCTCTCGGCCCTATCTCGGCCCTATCTCGGCCCTATCTCGGCTCTATCTCGGCGATCTCTCGGCCCTGTCTCGGCCCTATCTCGGCCCTATCTCGGCCCTATCTCGGCCCTATCTCGGCCCTATCTCGGCTCTATCTCGCCGAAGCGGACGAAGGCAAGCGGCTGCCCCTCGACGATCTCGACGAATCTCACCGCCCCGGCGCCTAGTTCACAAGGCCTCAATTCGGCATCTCTACCCGGCTGTTGGCGAGGAGCCTCACCCGCCCCGGCGCCCGCGGCGTCGTTGAGCTTCTCCTTAACCGAGCTGATGTCGCTGCCTAGTGTGCTCAAGGGCACGCTCGCTCACGAGTTGATGAGCGCAGCTCCTCCTTGAGCGAGCTGGCGTCGCTTCCCTCGGCCAGGTCCTTGACCGCCACGATGCAGCCGGGCTCATACGACGTGCCCGCCTACGGGACCGGTCGTCAGTCGTCTCTCGGTCTCGCCTTCTCGATGTCTCTTTCTCTCTCTCGCTCCCTCTCTCCCTCCCTCTCTCCCTCCCTCTCTGTCTCTGTCTCTGTCTCTGTCTCTGTCTCTGTCTCTGTCTCTGTCTCTTTCTCGCTCCCTCTCTCCCTCTCTCCCTCTCTCCCTCTCTCTTTCTCTCTTTCTCTCTTTCTCTCTCTCTCTCTCTCTCTCTCTCTCTCATACGACGTGCCCGCCTACGGCACCGGTCGTCAGTCGTCTCTCGGTCTCTCCTTCTCTGGCAGCGAGTACACGGGGCTGCGAGTGCAGTGAGCACCGCGGCAGGGAGGCGGAGGGAGGCGGCCGAATGGCAGCGAGCGGGCTCCGTGTCCTCTCTGGCATACCGTCTTCCGCCGTCTAGGCGTGGGCGTGCCTCGGCCGTCTCGGACCCGTTTAGGAAGTGTCTAGGGAGTGTGAACCGTCTAGGAAGCGTCTAGGAAGTGTCTAGGAAGCGTCTAGGAAGTGTCTAGGAAGTGTCTAGGAAGTGTCTAGGAAGTGTCTAGGGCGTGCCTCGGGCGTGCCTCGGGCGTGCCTCGGGCGTCTCGGAACCTTCTAGGAACCTTCTAGGAACCTTCTAGGCGCGGCGCGCCTCGGTCGTCTCGGACCCCTTCTGCGCGCCCTCCGCCGCGCCGCCGCGACCCCTCTTCGGCGACGGCTCGCCCGCGCCGCCCTCGTCGCGCCCGCGCTTGGACCCCCTCTCTCCGCCGCCCTTGCCCTTGCCCTTGCCCCTGCCGCCCTTGCCCGGCGGAGCCTCGAGGGGGAAGAGGGCGTCGACGCACTTGAGGTACGAAAAGTCCTCCTGTGGTCACGTCACGAGGCACGCATGAGTCGCCCCCTTCCCCCAAGTCGGGCGGCTGACCACGGCCGGCGCAGGCTGTCGCCTCGCTGCCGTCGGCTCGGACGAGCACAAAGCATCGCGTGTCGGGGAACTTGGGGTTGCAGCCCGCCTTGATGGACGCGATGCCGGCGCCGATCTTCTCGGCCGCCTTCGCGTGGTGCGACAGCAGGTCCTTGATGAAGGAACACTCCTCCTCCGCCAGCTCGCCCTCCTTTTGGAGCAGCGGCCGCGCGTGCGCCACGACGGCGGCGCGCCCGACAAACTCCTTTCCGCCGAGGGTGACCGTCTTCTTCATGAGTGCCGGGAGGCGGCGCAGCTTCTCTCCGTCCTCCGACACCTCGACCACCTCGGACCCCGCCATCGCAGCCGCCACCGGCGCGTGCTCGGCGCCCGGCAGCAGCGCCTTCATGCGGTTGAAGGTCATGATGACCGAGATGGGGACCCACTTCTCGGAGGTCTTGGCCATCTCGGTGCGCATGAACTTGTCGTTGGTCAGGTTCGCCTCCGAGAAGTAGTACTCTACCTGCTTCTTGATTGCCGCCGCCCGCTTCTCGTCGTCGTCGACCGCAGCCGGCGCGTCGCTCTTGCCCGCCTCACCCGGGACGAAGGAGATGGCCGCCGCAGGCGCAGCAGCCGCTGGCGCCGCTGCGGGCGCCTCGGCGGGCGCCGCCTCGGCGGCCGCAGCGGGCGCCTCAGTCGTGGGCTCAGGCTCGGTCGACATTCTGCGGCTTGTCCACGTCGAGTAGCTGCGAAAAGAATTTTAGAATCTTACAACAAAACTCCCTCGCACAACACTGGGCACGGGACTGGCGCGCACTGGCACGAACACAGGTACACCACGGGAGCCGCCTAAGCGACTCCTGCGAGGGTGGCGAGGCACTTAGCTCCGTGCACCCGCCCACCCCCGCCACAGGCAAGCTCATTTTTTTTTTTTATACCAAAAGGAGGGCTACACGACGCCCTCTACGCTGGGGTGCCGGCGCCCTACTGGGCGCCCCCCGCTCCCTTCCCCTCAGAGCCCCCCATCCCACTAGCATTCCCCCGCGGCCCCTCGCGGTCGCGCGACGCCGCACCAATGGCGCGCTGTGCCTCGTCCGCGAGCGCCACCCAGAGCTGCACCGACAGTCGCTGCAGCGCAAACGGCATCCATTCGCGCGCCGACCACGACGTCTGGTCGTACTGCCACCACGTGAGCTTCCGGCCCGCCACCTCAGCCACCCGCATCAGCAGATCCTCCACCCCCGCGCTCATTGCGCCGAACTCCTCGAAGAGCAACGCCTCCACATGGCACTTCCCCTCTGCGTCCGTGTACTGGCCCTTGACAGCCTCAACCGTCCCGGTCCCCGTCCGCGGATCCCACCGTCCCACCCTCCCACCCCTGTCCCCGCCCTCCACGCCCAGAACCGTCTCGCGGGCGCGTGGCAGCGTGTTGCCGCAAGCGACGAACGCCCCCATGCGCCCCGCCCCCGAGGGGTCCGACGGCACACCGGCAAAGATCTTCGTGTCGCCGATGCATGGCAGGTCCCCAATCACGCCCTGGTAAACGTACAAGTCCGTCCTCGTAGTGCTGTGCTCGCAGTGAAACTCGTGCTCCACAGCGCCGCGCCCCAGCTTGCCCCGCAGCAGCTCGACGAGGTCCAGGAGGACCTCCTTGTGCCGCGTCTGGTGGCCCGCCGCGCCGTCGTTCTGCGCCACGTCGCCGAGGGCGTCAAAGGGCAGACCGTGCTGACTGTAGATGCCGTCCGCCATAACGTCCGTCATCATCGACAGGTGCGATCCGAAGCGGCGCTGCAGCGCGAAGCGCAGCACGTACGAGGGCAGACGGAAGTGCGCGCGGGTCGGGATCGCGTTCAAGAACGCGCCCGCGCCGAACTGGCTCACCGAGACAAACCGCACCTGCTCCCTCCTCCCTGCGCGGCCCGCCGCCGCATGCATGTCCCTCCAGGCCGAATGGTGAATCTCATTTGAATTTTAGAAGGCAGCATCCTCTCCGACGCTCCTATGACAGCGAAGGCGGCAGAGGAGGCAGTGCCTGGACTGGCGAGGTACTTGGCCCGTCAGGGGATCCGGGGAGAGCTGTCGGGACGCGAGCACGCAGTGGCGTGCATCGTTCGCGACCTCGTGGTCGAGACCGGCCGCGACGCAAAAGGGAGCACGGCCTCACGCCGGTGGGACAGATGGGGCGCTGAGCTGGAGCCGCGCTACCCGGTCGTCGAGGCGTTCGCCAGGGCGCTGGAGGGTGCTCTATCTCGCGGCGCCACCTTGGTGGTGAAATACGGGATGGTGGACTGTACAGCCGCTGCACTGGAGAGTGCACGCGTACAGCCGCTGCTGCAGCAGAGAGATGGCACAGCTACATCCCCGGTCGGGATGGCGCCAGGTCCAGTGGTATGCGAGGCATGCAAGGAGGAGCTCGGAGGCGACGATACCGGCCCAGTCGGCGCCTTCGGTGGGGGTGGCACACCTCCCTCTGGGGGACGCGCTGGATGCAGACGCCTCGATGGAGCAGCGGAGGGAGGCACAGCGATTCGGGCAGCAGGTGGTCCGCATGCTCCTGGCGAAGGAGGGGAGAATGCCGATCACAGATCTGATCCACGCGCACCGTGCTGCCTTCGGCCTGCACCGCCCCGTGTCGGTGAAGGTGGACTTCAAGGCGAAGTCGCTGCGCACGCTACTCGTAGCGCTGCCTGGGCTGGCGCTACCCCAGGCCCCACGCGGGGACGTGCAGATGGTGGAGCTTGCTGCCGTGGGAGAGAGGTCTGATAACGGGAAGCAAGGGCGGTCCGCGGACCGACCCGGCGATAGCGGAGGAGCGCAAAAGCGCAGTCGGCCACGTCGAGGGTCGCGGCAAGAGAATCTCGGCCCAAACAGAGGCGCAACTCTGCCAGCAGCGAGGAGGCTCCTGCTGCTCAGCTACCGAGGCCTGGTGGCGTCGGCTGCTGCGTGGAGAAGACAGCAGCCTTGTCTGACCTCAAAACATGCCCACCAAGCGGGATTTGTGACTCTGTCCTCGATTCTTCAGTCGCTCTGCCGGACGCGCTCGCTTTGTCGCGAGGGTCACCGGTGCAAGCCGTGTGGACGCCCAGAATAGATAGCCTCACCTGGCTTAGCTAGAGTGAGAGATATTGTGCACATGGCCAGCCTCTACAATGTATACACTGACACTTTACCTCCCAGAGCTCGTCTCGGTCCGCCACGGCCATCCTCAGCCTCCGGAGGGCCCCCGGCCGCGGCGCGGTGCGGCGGCGTCACAAATCCGACGTCAGTTCACCGGGACGCGATCGGGCGATCTGAAGTCCAACTAGGCGTATGGATTGCCCGCCCAGGGCTATCACCTGGACCCCTCAATGGGCGCCTGCGGTGCCGCCCCCACGAGGTGTTGTTCACACCTGTCCAACCATTCGTGCAGCAGGGACGCGCTGTGTGTGGCTGGCAGCAGCAAACTCAAATGACGACGGGTTGCAGCCTCGTAGCTCAACGGCAACATTGTGCATGAGGAAGGCTGATAGAAGTAGCACAGCCACACAACCAACAGCTTCTTGAGAGTATGCGGAGCGCAAGCAGCCGGTGATCAAAGGCGCGTGTTGCTGTCGGTGGCAGATTGCCAGAGGGACGCCGGCGCTTCGGTGCGTGGCTTCGGGGTGGTCACAATTTTCCACCGCTCAACTTGGAGGCAGTGTGTCTAGTAGCGTGCTACAGCTATGACGGCGGACCTCACTGGGGCGCCGACGTGCGACGACCGTCTCTGGGATCGAAAGACGAAACCGCGCCCCAGGAGCTCGTGCAGAGCGCGCTCCGGAGCTCTGTGGCGGAAATTTTGAAGGGAACGTGGTGGCTTCCCACCGCCTCTGTATGTACCCAATAAAGTGCTAACACGACCCTCGGGCAGCAGGGGGTATGTGGCGAGCACACGGAGGCACAGTTAGGCCGCCGTGATATCGCCCTTCCGGGCACGACCCCGTTTCGGTAGCCGTTTAGGGGTTAACACCTTCTATTTTCGATAGAAGGTACGGCTTTCTTAGAGTACGGATGTTACTAACGTCAATAGCCATGTCAGCAATGATCATACACGCCGCCGTCCATACCTCTGTGGCGTATACACATATTGGCCCGCAGGCCGCATATATCAAAGAGAAAAGAAAGAATCTTAAGATACAAGCCTCTCTCACAGCAAGAAAGAAACACACAGCGAGAGTAACAAGATCTATCTACTCTTAATCCCTGGCCGAGAGTCGGCTGGCTATCTCGGCGAGGAGCCGTCAGGGTTTTGGTTTCGCGGCCACAGTTTGCGGATAGTGTGAACATGAGATGTTCCCCAGATGTTCCCCCTTTGCTGACAACCCTCACAGCGTAATCTCTCGTCCCCCCGAAATCCGCCTCAAATCGCGTCAAGGCAACCATGCACTTTCCTCGTCCGCTCGCGCTTGCCGCGCCGCATTGCGCCCGACTATGCCGCCGCGAGCTGCACGCCTAGACCCCCGCGACGCCTATTGCTCACGGAACCCGCCGCCTCCTCACCACCCCCGCCACGCGATGCGCCTCTGCTCGGTGCGCGAGCGGCTGTCCCCCCCTCGCACCGCCTGCCTACTCCCGCTCGCAGGTACAGCCGCTGCCATCGACGAAGCCGCGAGATGCGTCCGCTGCTGCCCATTCCCCACCCTTGTCTCGCGCGACCGCCCTCCCTCTCTTCTGGCAAGAGAGCGACCCGCTCTCGCTTGGAATGTCGCCAATCGCCGACGCCGCCCAGGATGCCGTGGGCCGATGGTGCGGAGGAGCGGCCGCTCCCCCTCTCGGGACTGCCGCAAAACCTGTTCAGGAGCAGCACGCCAAGAACGCGCCTGCTGGGGCTGAGGCGCAAAATGTGAGATTGCAGCCGCCGCAGTGGCCACTTTCTCCCTCCATTGTGCATGTGCCTTGGGAAGGGGGTGCAAGCACACCTCCGCTGCTCGGAATCTAGGGTCACCGGACTCGTTCGCGAGCGAGCGCGGGTAGACGGCGGCGTGCGCCAAGCGGCGGCCCGCGCGCGACCGCGAGCTTGCGCGTCGGCCGTGCGCGGGCAGAGGGTGCGGAGGGGCGAGCGGTGGCGGTCGCTCGCCCGGGCAACCCGCGCGCGGGCGGCGCACCGCAGCGGGGAGCGCCCAGGGGCGCGGCGCGTGCTGGCTGCGAGCGGGCGCCAGACATCGCTTTTGAGCTCTCGTAAGCCAAAAATATGCCGCCGCACGGAGCACACAGTGAACCCGCAGCAGATCCGGCCTGTTCCGCTGTTCCGAGAGAGTAGGCTCCCGCACCGCCCCATATCTCACGGAACGGGAAGGAGCAACGGGGTAAGTCCGCGTCGGCGAGTCCGTCGGGCTCAAACCCCTCCGGTAGGGGGGTGGTCCTGCCGAGGCCGCATCGGGTGCAGCCCCTCTCGTGGCAGATGTGCTCCGCCCTCGCGGCCCATGGCGCCCCGTGACTGCTCTGGGGGGAGGGCGGGGGCGTCGATGTCGGTGACTCCTCCTCGTCACGGGAGGGTCGCCACGACTCGTTGCAGAGCGTCTCCTCGTAGGGCTGGGCCTCCGTCCCTCCGGCCGTGGTCAGCGTGATGTCGCCCGCGTCGGCGAGGTCGACGTGTCCGCGCTCGACCTTCCCCTCTGCGTCCTCCCCGCCCGATGCGACGTTCGGTCATCGCCGGTCGGTGAAGGCGTGGAGCAGATTGGCGTGTGTCAGAGCGAGCAGCAAGGCGGCCACCGACCGCAAGGCAGAGCAAAGAGGGGGCACAGCACTCTTGACTTTGCGAGGGCGGCCGGCACGGCCGCACCACCCCTTACATTATACCTGGAGAGAGAGCACAAGGTGGAGAGAGAGAAAAGTCTTTTAGTAGCAGGTTGGGGTAGCGTTCAGTAGTGTTGATGGCAGTGTGTTCACAAGAGAAGCGAATGCGTACTCTTGTTTAGTAAGGTTCGAAAAAGAACCTTGTTCGGAGTGTGCGCCCGATATTATTAGCGCCGCCGATTAAACGTTCATTCGAGTTGATGAGGTCGCGCCGAATTCGCCTTGGGCTCGCCGCGTGAGGAGCTCGTGAGCTCTGCAGGGCAGCCTGTCCCTCATTGGGCACGCGGCACCGACGGACGCGGCACGGCCGTGGAGCCCGCATCGCCGAGCCACAGACAGTAGGGTCGCGACGTACCTGCATCAGCCGTCGCGCCGACAGGAAGGAGCTCAGGCGTCGCCGAGCAAAGACGCCGGCCGTCTTCCTTTTTCCCGTTCGCGCGGGTTTCCGTGGCGCATCCCAGCATCCTCGCCCGAGCTCTTTGCGCGCCGCGCGACCACTCTCGGTGTCTCGGGCAGCCTGTGATCCGGAGGCCTCCATGCATGCTGGAACTCGCCGCTCGGTCCTCCGTCGCGGATTTGGAGGCCAGAATCGAGGCCGCAGCCCCCCTATAGGGGGGCTGGCCCTCAGGGCCAGCCTTTGAGGGGTGTGTGTGTTGGGGTGTGTGTGTATGTTCGTCATTATGAAGGAGAGCGGGTCAAAAAAGGGCGACTGGGGCTCCTTGTTTTGCTAAACAAAGGAAGGTTGATTGTTTACACACACCCCTTTCTCTTTCGAAAACACACACCCCTTCAAGGAGCCGCTGAGGAGAGAATCGTTCAAAAACACACACCCCTTCAAGGAGCCGCTAAGAAGAGTCTCTTTCCAAAACACAGTACACACACCCCTTCAAGGAGCCGCTAAGAAGAGTCTCTTTCCAAAACACAAAGGAGCCGCCAAGGGTGCAGCCTACCGCGCTGGTAGGGGCTATGAGCTAGGGGCTATGAGCTAGGATGTAGGGGGTGGTGGCGCAGAGTGGGATCCCGTCAGATCCTTGGTGTCTGGGTTCGAGAATTTTACAACAAAAACCTGGTTTGTGGAGCTCCCGCAACTTACCCTTAGAGGCCACCATAAGGGACCCCATTGCCCGTTTGCCACCAGACTTTTTTTGAGTTGGAGGTAATAACTAAATGGATTGCACTCTCCCAAAGAACTGATGCATTCATAGTGCCTTCACATAGTTACAATACCTCAAAGTTGAAAAACTCCAAAATAGGCCGTCAGGACTCTGTCAGGACTCCGTCAGGACTCTGTCAGGACTCCGTCAGGACTCTGTCAGGACTCTGTCAGGACTCTGTCAGGACTCCGTCAGGACTCTGTCAGGACTCCGTCAGGACTCCGCCAGGACAACCACTGTCCCCCCGCTGTGAATAGAGCCCTTAGCTAGAGAGTAGGGAGGGGTGTACAGTCGAGTTACTCCCGAGGGCAGGGACGGCCCTCCACTGAGGGAAAGGGCGCACGGGGACGGTATCGACCCAGCCACGCAGCTCTTTCCTCGCGTACAGCCAACGAGTTTGCTGGTCCACAGGCAGGCCAGGCCGTGAGCGTGGGCCGGTCAGGCCTGATCCTGCGGTGAGCACTGGAGGGCTATGAGCCGTTCGCCTGCTGCGATTGTAGGTACATTCCGATGCTCACCCTCGTCCTCATCATAACCAGCGCGCTGTCGTACACGACCGCGGCGGCGGCGCCCAAGCGCGAGCTTGACTTCGCCCAGATGGAAACCCCCGACACAATTTCTGTGACGGTGATGAAGCTCAAGGTGGAGTACCCAGAAGAGCACTCCGGAGACGAGCCGTTCTACTTAATCGCATGCGGGGAGCACGACGACGACAACGACGAGACGAAAGCCAAGAAAATTGCCAAGGAACACTGTGGCGACACCCCCTCATGGTCTACCTGCGACCACGTCGGCGGGTACTGCGAGGAGATCGACTCTGATGGGAAGTGCACGAAGAACGAGGGGGTGACCTGCTCCAAGAATATGAAAATGGGCAAGTCTTGCAACTTCCCTGCACAGGGCCGGACCCACCATTGCCCCGCACTGAACTCGAACGGCGTCCCAACCACAAAGTTCACGCTCCAGTTCTGGTGCGCTCCGCCGCACTCCCCCTCCCGACGTTGTGCCAATGGGCGCCGTCGCAGACCTGCTGCAACATCACGCAGTCGCAGAGTTGCAGCACCCGCTGCCCTCCTCTTTGACGGAAGATGCTGCATGCCGAGGCTACGTCGCGCGGGTAGTTGTACCGCAGCGGCGAGTCGGCGCCACTCTCGCCGTCTGGACGCTCGTCTACGTAGTGTGCGTTGGCGAGGTTCGAGTCGCTGAACCACTGCCGGTGGTAAGATGAGATGTAGCCAGCCTCGCCGACGCGCAAGTGGGGCGGTCCCTGTAGCTCCCCCTCCACCAGCTCGACCTCCACCTCCTCGTCGTCGGAGCCGGGTCTGCCGGCAAACAGCGCCTCGTCCTCGACCTCGTCCTCCCCTCCCGTCTCTTCTCCCTTCCTGCGGGCTTCCATGTCTGATATGATCCTGTCCCACGACACCCCCC